GGTAATGTACTAGGTGTTCGCGCCTTCTCTTTGTGTGTTTTGTTGTTCTATAGTTATGGATTCCCCAGTCTGAAGAGGGCTGCACCTGCCTGCCTCAAGTTGCACAATTGACGATTATGCATGCAATGATATTGTAGATGGTTCCCTAGGTTTCTGAACGCCAAGGTGTCAAGTTTTTTGCTTTTTGTGTTTAAACCAAAAGACTATACAAAGGGGTATGTACTGTGAACCTTTGTGGAATTCATATCTCATTTATGTCTTGCAGAAGGAGAGCGTGTTCTTCTTCTTTCTGATCAGTGCGTTTTTCCTGTCTCTGGTCTTCTTGTATTTCTGGGGAGAAGCAAAGAATGACTACAATGATTTTGACTGGTGAGTATTCACGTACCATCAAGATTTTTGAAATTCTTTCTTGGAAATGTTTCTGTACTGCACACCTGACCATAATTTGTGTCTTTAAACCTAGCAGTGCCTGTCCATAGCTTTGGAATTTTTTGGGGGGAACTAGGACCACTTTGAAAAAATTTTAAAAGGCCTTGGGCACCCCTTGACAAGTAGACTTCTGTAGGGGTTTTAACCCTTCCCTGCTTGATCAAAAAAAGGAAAAAAAAAACAGCAAAAAAAGCAACATTGATAAAGAGTCTTAATGGGGTATTAAACCCAAAACCAAAAATTTAATAAATTGCAACTTAACAAGTATTAGGTGAGGTGGCTGCATTAGTTTTCATCTGGTGATCTGGCCAGTAACACACCTCCTGTATTAGAGTGCTCCCACTTTGGATGAAGGAGCACAGGAAGCACATTTAGACAGCAGCATTGTTAATCTGGGGGATAGGGAGAGTTAGATGTACTAGCAGATTTAGATTCACTAACAAATTGAAGTCAAACTCCAGCTCACACTTTATAAGCAGTTACAGCTATTAGGTTTTTTTTTTTTTTTGCCTTTTTGGGATAAAGGTTTTACACAGGGCTTTTTTTTCTCACAGAATAGGTGCAGGAACTCTCCCTTTCCGAGTCACCCCCGGACTCTGTCCCGCACCGTCCCTGCGTTCCACCCCTTACCTACCTTCCAGTACCGCCCTTTTAGAACAAAGTATCAATTTGTATGGAATTTGTAAGGATAACAAGAAAAGCAGTAAAATTGATCCCCTGCAGCCAGCAGCAATAGACCCCCTCCCAGCAACAATGGACCAGCTGCAACAAAATACCCCCCCAGCAACAATAGTCCCCTGCATCATCAACAGATCTCCCCACAGCCAGCATCAATAGATCTTCCAGCAGCTAGCAATAATAGACCTCCTCCCTCAACAGTAGATCCATCCCAGAAACAAGTGAATCCACTGCAACAATAGATCCCCACTATCTACAGCAAACCTCCCCAGCCTCACCCCTCCTCCCCCCGCAAAAATGGATCCCCCAGCAGCCAGCATCAGTAGACCCTGCAGTATACCCCACCACCCCTTGCCATTACATACATTCAGTGGTGGAGGTGCCGCATTCCTGCTGAAAAAAAGCCCTGGTTTTACATAAATAGGCAGCACAGTGGCTAAATGGTCAGCACTTCCGCCTGGCAGTACTAGGGCCGTTGGTTCAAATCCCAACCACGGCACCACCTACCTGGAGTTTGCATGTTCTCCCTGTGCCTGCGTGGGTTTCCTCCCACACTCCAAAGACATGCTGGTAGGTTAATTGGATCCTGTCTAAATTGGCCCCAGCATGTGTATGTAGGAATGTGAGTTAGGGACCTTAGATTGTACACCCCTTGAGGGTTAGGGACTGATGTGAATGTACAATATATATGTAAAGCGCTGCGATAAATTGACTGCACTATATAAGTACCTGAAATAAATAAAAAATAAAAATAAATAAAGCTGATCATCTTATGCACCCCGGTCAATGGTTTGTCTCATCCCTGTAAACTCTCTGGAAGAGAGCTTGTTCTTTTGAAAAACAACAGACTTACTGGGTGGATCACCAGATAAATAGAAGAAAGAAAGCCTAAAATAGAAAAACTAATGCAGCCATCACATCTAAGAATTGGTCATCTGCAATATAATAATTGTTTGCTTTTGGGTTTAATACTTCTTTAAGGCCCCATTCCCACTAGCAGAAAAGAGGTGGCCCTCCCACAGCCGACATACGATGGACACTAATCTGCACAACGAACTAGGGCCTGCTAACACTAGCAAAGAAAAAAAGAAAAGAAAAAGAAGGCAACGCACTGATCAATTGTGTGCTGGCGGTAGTGGTGGTGGTGGAGCAGGGGAGGAGGCGCATTTTTTCGATCTTTTTTTTTCACTACATGCATTTCTGCAGCATTCCCATTGAAGTCTATAGAACACAAAACGCTACTTTTTATGTTCAAAAGAGTCCCTGACCCTTTCCAAAAAATGCACCGGGTGAAAACATGGAGATGTGAACATGTCCAATAGGAAATCGTGTTAAATGGACTGAAGTGCATTTCTGCAAAATGCAAAACGCTGCGGAAAATGCTTAGGTGTGAACCTGGGTGACACACTTCAACCCACCTGGAGGAAGCATTGCAGTGTGAACAAGGCATATAAATGTTTTCCGTGTGTCCTTGTACTGACAAAGAAACAACAGTCACTGCACAAAGTGTGATTGAGTGCAAAAGTGAGTCTTGGATAGAAGCTGGTGGAATGTATTATTTTATGACAGGTACTTATATAGCACCATCAATTTACACAGCGCTTTACATTTTCATGATATATTCACATCAGTCCCTGCCCTCAAGGAGCTAGGCACTATTCCTCCCACTGACACCAACGTTGGGGCAGTATTTCCTCCCACTGACACCAACGTTGGGGCAGTATTCCTCCCACTGACACCAACGTTGGGGCACTATTCCTTACACTGACACCAACAATGGGGCACTATTCCTCCCACTGACACCAACGTTGGGGCACTATTCCTCCCACTGACACCAACGTCGGTGTACTATTCCTCCCACTGACACCAACATTGGGGCACTATTCTTAACACTGACACCAACGTTGGGGCACTATTCCTCACACTGACACCAACATTGGTGCACTATTCCTCCCACTGACACCAACATCAGGGCACTAGTCCTCCCACTGACACCAATGTTGGGACACTATTCCTCCCACTGACACCAACGTCGGGACACTATTCCTCCCACTGACACCAACGTCGGGGCACTATTCCTCCCACTGATACCAAGGTTGGGGCACTATTCTCCCACTGACACCAACGTCAGGGCACTATTCCTCCCACTGACACCAACATTGGGGAACTATTCCTCCCACTGACACCAACATTGGGGAACTATTCCTCCCACTGACACCAACGTTGGAGTACTATTCCTCCCACTGACACCAACATCAGGGCACTAGTCCTCCCACTGACACCAATGTCGGGACACTATTCCTCCCACTCACACCAACGTCGGGACACTATTCCTCCCACTGACACCAACGTCGGGGCACTATTCCTCCCACTGATACCAAGGTTGGGGCACTATTCCTCCCACTGACACCAACGTTGGGGAACTATTCCTCCCACTGACACCAACATTGGGGAACTATTCCTCCCATTGACACCAACATCGGGGAACTATTCCTCCCACTGACACCAACATTGGGGAACTATTCTTCCCACTGACACCAACATTGGGGAACTATTCCTCCCACTGACACCAACATTGGGGAACTATTCCACTCACTGACCAACGATAGGGCACTATTCCTCCAACTTTCACCCATGACGGGACATTATTTATTTATTACAGGTACTTATATAGTGCTCTCAATCTATGCAGCACTTTACATATATATTGTACATTCACATCAGTCCCTAACCCTCAAGGGGCGTACAATCTAAAGTCCTTAACTCATATTCATACATACACATACTAGGCCAGTATAGACAGGATCCAATTAACCTACCAGCATGTCTTTGGAGTACGGGAGGAAACCCACCCAAGAACAGGGAGAACATGCAAACTCCAGGCAGATAGTCCCATAGTTGGGATCTGAACCGACGACCCTAGTGCTGCTAGGTGGAAGTAACCACCAACCAATTATCAGCCTGAGATGCCAAATGCACTTAAGTTCCCACGGCTGTCCAACTACTATTGTCTAGGACAGCTGTTTCCAACCAGAGAGGGTTCCTCCAGAAGTTGCTAGAGGTTCCTTGAGCAATTTCTGCCTCTCAGATAGGTAACCACTGACACCAATGATCTTTTTTAGTTATCAGTAAGGTCAAATTGATCCCAGTAACCTCAAACATATGAAGCCTTCTTCCCAATGACCATCACACTAGTGTACCATGAGCTTTAAATACAGACATTATTACCAGGGCTTCCCTGAGACCGGAAAATTATTTCAAGGGTTCCTCCATGTTAAAAAGGTTGAGAAAGCCTGGTCTAGGTGGTCTCCACTCTTTGGATGTCACCTCTGCCTTTCATTATGGAGAATGCATCAGGAACATCCAGGGGTGGACTGACCATTCGGATACTCAGGCACTGCCCGAGGGCCCGGGGTAAGTAGGGGGCCCCATGAGATGCCCCTAGTACCTTTCATAGGCTTTTTTGGGTGTGGTTTGAGTTTGGGTGAGTACACAGGGGCCCCATGACCCCTTATTGACGAGGGCCCCATGAGTTGTCAGTCCGCCCCTGGGATAATCTAAACTTCAAGCTTTGCATTTTTTTTTATAGATATAAAAAATAGAAGTCCAACCAGTTTAGTTGAGGACAGGGTGGAGAAGGATTGTCCATGTTTTTTTTTATTGCTGTCTGTGGGAAGATTTCTCCTCATTGTCTATCTCAGCTGGGCAGAAAGAGGTGGGGCCACACCTGACTCTTACAGGGAAAGTCAATATTAGCATAGAAATCCAGCTCATAGTATTAGTATGCAGTTTTCACTAAAAGAGATTTCTGCTTTTGTGTTTTAAATACATTTCGGTTATCTAGGTTGACTTTGGGCTTTTGGGCATAACATCGAGTGGGTGACTTATCCCATATGTCAGGCCTTGAAATTTCCTCTTGCCTGCTCGCCAATGGCGAGTGGAAATTATGGTGGGGGCGAGTGTGTCCCCCAGGGCAGTCTTGCTGAGCAGGCTTGGAGCACAGGCCGGATCTGTCATTGGCACTGGGAGCCGTCAGACTGCTCAATAGCTGAGTGCAGTGAAAGCAAAGGAAGGAGTGTGTGCTGTGCTCTCTGCCTCCCCCTAGAGTGCAGTACCCGGATCTGTGAGTGAACAACAAAGTACTGCAACTTTTTATAGGGGTGTGTGTGTTCACATGTGTGTGTCTGTACATGTGTCTGCGTTTATGTACATGTATATGTGTGTGTACATGTGTCTGTGTGCATGCACATGTGTGTGTTTGTGTGTATGTACGTACATGTGTCTGTGTGTACATGTGTCTGTGTATGTATGTACATGTGTATGTATGTACATGTGTCTGTTCGTGTGTATTTCTGTGTATGTACATGTATCTGTGCGTATGCGTGTCTGTACGCGCCTGTGTGTGTATACATGTGTCTGTATGTGTGTGTGTGTACATGTGTCTCTGTGCATGTGTGTACATGTTTCTGTGTGTGTGTATGTACATGTCTGTGTGTGTGTACAGGTGTCTGTATGTGTGTGTGTGTGTGTGTATGTACATGTCTGTGTGTGTGTACAGGTGTCTGTGTGTGTGTGTACATGCACATGTCTGTGTGTGTATGCACATGTCTGTGTGTGTATGTACATGTCTGTGTGTGTGTGTGTACAGGTGTCTGTGTGTGTATGTACATGTCTGTGTGTGTGTGTGTGTATGTACATGTCTGTGTGTGTGTGTACAGGTGTCTGTGTGTGTGTATGTACATGTCTGTGTGTGTGTATAGGTGTCTGTGTGTGTGTGTATGTACATGTCTGTGTGTGTGTACAGGTGTCTGTGTGTGTGTACAGGTGTCTGTGTGTGTGTATGTACATGTCTGTGTGTGTGTGTACAGGTGTCATGTGTGTGTGTATGTACATGTCTGTGTGTGTGTGTACAGGTGTCTGTGTGTGTGTATGTACATGTCTGTGTTTGTATACAGGTGTCTGTGTGTGTGTACAGGTGTACATGGTCTGTGTGTGTGTGTACAGGTGTCTGTGTGTGTGTACATGTTTCTGTGTGTGTATGTAGGTGTCTGTCTGTGTGTGTATGTGTATGTACATGTCTGTGTGTGTATGTGTATGTACATGTCTGTGTGTGTTTGTTGGTGGCGAGTAACTCTTAAGGCCTGGCTAGTAGCTGATGACTTGAAATTTGAAGCCCTGCCATATGTCATGTTGGATCTCCATGTTGGGGTAAAACAGGGTCTGGTCGTTCTTCAGAAAAAAAATGGCAAAACTGTTATGTCTCCATATTCACATCACCTGTCATCTGTTTTCCATAGTTCATAACGTTTCTGAATTTCATGCATTCCTTTCAGGTACACCTATCGTAGTCTGGGTTACTGGTTCCTGTGGTCTGTACTGATCCTGGCGGTGGTGGCCGTTTTGTTTACATATGTTGCATTACTAGTGGTAAGCCAACTCATTTTAAAAAAAAAATGCTCTTCTGGCCTAGTCAGTTATACACAGGCTGCTAACTAGCATGCAGGCAGTCCTGGGTGTTTTTACTAGAAAATGTGGCAAGGTTTGCAAAATACATTGTATTGAAGTAGTATGCAGTAGATAAAAAAGAGACATTGGCTAATAAACCTGCAAATAAAACAGTGAGTCAATCAGGTCATACCTGACGTATGCACTTTCACTGAGAGAGTAAAGCACAACCATTGTGCAGTACTACTAAGCAAGAAGAAGAGTCTGTCTATGTAATAACCAAGTATGGCTGCCCCCTTGTACATTTATAACTACAAACTACACACAGAGGGCCGGCTCACACTATAGAAACGCAGTCCAGATGTGTTCCAGATGCGTTTTTGCATGCAGGTTTTTGGCGCGTTCTGATGCGTTTTCAACACATTCCAATTCGCTTTTTTATGCATTTCAGTTAATTTTTTCCTCTCTCTTTTTCTTCAAGTTAAATAGGGACATGGGCGTTCCAGTGCGTTTTTTTTTTTCTTTGGTGCGTTCTAGTGCGTTTTAGATGCTTTTTACCGCATTCCAGTACAGTTCTGTGCAGAAACAATGCAGGCTGTTTGCTTTTTTTTCTGCACCGGAAAGCACTGGAACTGCAAGCACTGATGTGAACTATGACATTGACAGCCATATAACCTACTTTATGTGCATTTTGGATGCAGAAGAAAAGCAACTGAAACACATGTAGTGTGAACTGGCTCAGAAAGAAGTTTTTTTCATAGATTATTGCTTAATACTCACAACATTATTTACTTTTTGCTATAAACAACTATAGAACTATCACATCTCCAGGCAGATACAGTCCCATATGGAAGAAAAATATATCTGAAATATATTTTAAAAATATTCTTCCCAAATATATTGACATATATTTGAAATTCTACAATTCTGGCCATATTCAATATATTTCAAAATATATTTCAATATTTATACAGTTCAAAATAATAGCAGTCAGACATCACTAACCTGATCAATCACTGTTTTTGGTAGAAATCATATTTCTACATGGCAAATAATTTACTAGCAGGTGTAGTAGAGTAATAAAAATCCAACAGACCCAACAGTCATGACATGCATGCTGCTGATTCTGTGTAATTGAATCACTAATTGAAAGGGGCATGTTCAAAATAATAGCCGTGTGGAGTTCTATTAGTGAGGTCATTCATTCTTTGAAAAACAGGTGGCAATTATTGCCCTTATTTAAGGAAGGAAGGCAGCAAATGTTGTACATGCTGGTTATAGTGCATTTCTCTCTGAAATTCTGAGGAAAATGGTCGTTCCAGACATTGTTCAGAAGAACAGCGTACCTTGATTAAAAAGTTGATTGGAGAGGGGAAAACATATTAAGAAGTGCAGAAAATGATAGGCTGCTCAGCTAAAATGATCGTAAATGCTTTAAAATGGCAACCAAAACCTGAAAGACGTGGAAGAAAGCGAAAAACTACCATTTGAATGGACAGAAGAATAGCTAAAATGGCAAGGACTCAGCCAACAATCAGCTCCAGGAAGATGAAAGAAGGTGTAAAGTTTCCCTGTGAGGACTGTTACAATTAGAAGACGCCTATGTGAAGCCAAGCTATCTGCAAGAAGCCCCCGCAAAGTCCCACTGTTGGAAAAAAGACATGTGCTGAAGAGGTTACAATTTGCCAAAGAGCACATTGGCTGGCCTAAAGAGAAATGGCGCAACATTTTGTGGACTGATGAAAGTAAGATTGTTCTTTTTGGGTCTAGTGGCCGGAGACAGTTTGTCAGACGACCCCCAAACACTGAATTCAAGCCACAGTACACCGTGAAGACAGTGAAGCATGGTGGTGCAAGCATCATGATATGGGGATGTTTCTCATACTACGGTGTTGGGCCTATTTATCGCATACCAGGGATCATGGATCAGTTTGAATACATCAGAATACTTGAAGAGGTCATGCTGCCTTATGCTGAAGAGGAAATGCCCTTGAAATGGGTGTTCCACCAAGACAACGACCCCAAACACACCAGTAAACGTACAACATCTTGGTTCCACACCAACAAGATTGACGTTATGGAGTGGCCAGCCCAATCCCCGCATCTTAATCCAATAGAAAACTTGTGGGGTGACATCAAAAATGCAGTTTCTGAGGCAAAACCAAGAAATAGAGAAGAACTGTGGAATGTAGTCCAATCATCCTGGGCTGGAATACCTGATCACAGGTGCCAGAAGTTGGGTGACTCCATGCAACACAGATGTACAGCAGTTCTCAGAAACAGTGCGACTACAACCAAATATTCATTAAGTGATTCAAAGGAAAGCAAAATCTTCAACATTTTTCAGTTTATATAGTGAATGTTTGAGTTTGTAAAGAAGAATACAAAAACTGCAATTTTTTTGAACAGTCTAATATTCACTTTTCTTCAATTTTTTTTAGAGGAACAACACAAATTTGATCTATTTTTCTTCATTTTTTTTTTGATTTGGAATAGAATGTGTCGTGTTCCCAATGTATTTGTGTGTATGGAAATAAAAGCTATTAGAAGGATTTTCAGCTTTATTCACTTTTTTTAACACACTGCTATTATTTTGAACACAACTGTATATATGTGTATATATATATATATATATATATATATACTGCATGTTGAAATGTGTGTTTTTATTTACAAATATATGTAAAAATATATGTTAAAATTACTTTTTTTATATGTTAAAAAAAATTTGAAGAATATATTTAAAAATATATGCTTCAGACTTTTCTTCAGTCTTCTGTGCAGCAGTTCTCAGACTGGGGGAGGGAGAAACAGCAGAAGTAGCTAATTGTTGGTGGTGCAGTGCTTATGTGCTAACAAGGAGCATTCTGATAGGAGGGGAGAGCAGAGTGACAGAGAGATTAATTTATCAGTCTGCGGTTTTCTTTTTTCACTGTCCAGTCAGAGGCTGAGGAGGGACAAGGAATGTGTTACTGAACTGAGGAAAATCACGTCTTCTGCCCATCCCTTATACATGGCTCAAAAAAATGAAATGAACACTTTTAAAACCCATCAGATCTCAATGGGGAAAAATCTCCTGCTGGATATCTATACTGATCTGGACGGGGTAATGAATTAGGAATGTAAGGATGCCCCATCGTTTGATGGAAATGAAAATGATCGACCTACAGAGGACTGAATTCAAAGACACCCCAAAAATCGAAGTGAAAAAATGATGCAGCAGACGAGTCCATTTTACTGAAATTTCATTGCAGCAACTCAGAATGGTCCTCAGTAGTTTGTATGGCCCCACGTGCTTGTATGCATGCCTGACAATGTCGGGGGAGGCTCCTAATGAGACGATGGATGGTGTCCTGGGGGATTGCCTCCCAGATCTGGACCAGGGAATCACTGAGCTCCTGGACAGTCTGAGGTGCAACCTGGCGACGTCGGATGGACCGAAACATGACATCCCAGAGGTGTTTTATTGGATTTAGGTCAGGCGAGCGTGGGGCCATTCAGTGGTATCAATTCCTTCATCCTCCAGGAACTGCCTGCATATTCTCACCACATGAGGCCGGGCAGTGAGCAGTGTTTAAAAAAAATATAAAACACATAAGGCACTTTGACCACTTAGCAACCACACCGAATGACGGCTACAGCGCGGTTGTCCAGTCCTGGCAGGGTGACATATGTCGTCCTCCCAGAATGCGCTTCCCACGCGCCCCCAGTGATCTCCGTGATTGCTGTGTCTGTAGGACACAACTGATCACGTAATGTGGTAAAAGGCCAATCACAGCAGCCTTTTACTATGTGATCAGCTGTCCAATGACGGGTAAAATACGGTTGTCGGTTATCGGCTGTCACAGTGTGAGGAAAGTACTGCCGATAACCGGCAATTGTCAGAGAACAGATCGGCACAGATCATCAGTGCACAGATCATCAGTGCCACCCAGCAGTGCCACCTACCAGTGCCCAGCTCTGTTCCTGTGAGCTTTGTGAAGGGGGCTGTGTCTCGTCCCTCCAATCAGCTATTAGAGCTGTCCTCACTAAGTTCTGCAGAATGAAACTTCAGCTGTCCACCCCCTTTATTTTCTGAACTCTCAGACAAGATTTATAAATTCAGCACTTTGAATGGACGTAGACAAGAGTGCAGATAAACAGGTACAACTTATGTAGAAGGATTTGTTTCATCTCTGTGTATCACCTGAGGATAGTCCCTTCACTGGGTAATATGGAGTAGTTTACAACGAATTTAAGGAAAGATGTATTGAAATATGGAGGCTTGCTATTGCTGACCTACTTTACAGAATACTAGTAGCATGTCTTCTGAGTGTTAGAAAATCAATGGGAATGTTAGAATTCTTATTTAAATACTTGTCCCAGATAAGACCCTGAAAAATATTAATGTTGTTGGATCAGCATGACTACCAGGATCAAGCACAGGTGTGCTGCGCCTATTGCATTAGGGTGTGCACCCCAAAGCTCAAACACATGTGCATGTGTGTGTGTGCGCGCATATATATATATATATATATAGATATATACAGTTGCAAGAAAAAGTATGTGAACCCCTTGGGATTACGTGGAGTTTTGCATGAAGGGCATAAAATGTGCTCTGAACGTCACTAAGTCAACAACAATAGAAGAACACAGGGCTGAACAGATACTACACAAACATTAGAAGTTGCCATAGGGGTTTAATTGCACATAACATGTAAACATTCACAGTGCAGGGAGGAAAAAGTATGTGAACCTTTGGACTTTAATAACTGGTTGACCCTTCTTTGGCAGCAATAACCTCAACCAAACGTTTCCTGTAGTTACAGATCAGACCTGCACAACGATCTGGAGTAATTTTGGACCACTCCTCTTCACAAAACTGTTTCAGTGTAGCAATATTCTTGGGATGTCTGGTATGAATCGCTCTCTCAAGGTCATGCCACAGCATTTCAATCGGTGTTGAGGTCAGGCACTGGGCCACTCCAGAAGGCGTATTCTGT